GTTGAAATATCGATAGAATGTCTACAGTAACTTATTGTTTTGATAAAATTCATAAATAATTAAAACATTATCCTAATGAATTGTTCATACATGTTAATTTTTTTATGGTTCATAACTACGATTAAAAATCATATCGGTTTTATCGTTTTCTATCTATTTTTAACAGGGTAGAACGTAATAAGCAGCAATATAAAATGCTGTCGCTATGCAAATGTTAGAATCTGTTACGTCCTGAGGACTCCACAATTCTTTTTTTTCGTGGAAAATGTCAAAGTCAGCCGCCGGACACGGGAAGTCGATTTAGCGGCGACTATTTTATTACGTGATAGATTTAAGACTTCTTGCGTTCTAAGAAACGGACGCGCGAGAGCCGTCAATAAGAGGAATCTTTTGCCGATAACCCCATTGCCCTACAATTAAGTAAATAGAAAAGATCGCCGCCTGGTCCCACGCATGAGTTCTTAGAAAAAGAGACCTGACACACGTCAAACTAGGCGAGGATCTTATTTACCGATCACCAACGCCGCGGACGATTCTTTTCTTTCGTGGAAAATGTCAAAGTCAGCTGCCGGACACGGGAAGTCGATTAGCGGCGACTATTTTATTACGTGATAGATTCAAGACTTCCTGCATTCTAAGAAGCGGACGCGCGAGAGCTTTCAATTAGCGCAAAACTCGGCGGCTCCGGATCAAAGGGGAGTCACTCTGATAATCCCTTTTCTGGAAGCGGCGGCTCTCGGAAATCAAAGGAGTCCGACCGGGATCCCAGGTATATATGTCTTCTCTGGGCGACTCGACTCACTCGGATCTCAGCAGTCAATTTAGTATTTGTCACGCTGTCATTTTAACGGGCGGACAAGAACTTAGAATCTGTGCGCGGTTGAAAATCGAGTGCCTAAGATCGCTCCTGGAAAGAAAGAGAAGCCCCGCGCAACCGGCCAGCGAGACCCCAGCGTGAGCCCCTGCCAACCTCCCCAGCTCCCTCTCGAGTTACAGCAGGTAGTAAGTCAATCATAATCATGTTTTTATTTTAACCGAGATTAACTAAATTAGTTGACTTGTCTCAAATCAATCTCGTCCTCAGTCCGTCGCGGACAAAATTTAAATGTCCAAACCGCGGCCCCCGCGACTCGCGATCAATGCGTGTTTTTTTTTGTAGGGACCAATAACGTCTCCAGCCAATCCCGGCGCAGACGACGTCTAGGGAATATTTTATATATAGAGTTTCCTAACTTTCTGATATATAGTTTAGTTATTATTCAATTATTAACCTTTTTCCTGTGTATTGAGTAGTAATAAATGTGAAAAAGTAAATACTAGTGTGTAATAATCCTCGCTTCTAAAAACGGCATTAAAAGGCACACGATTAACATATTCTTTGGCCGCACGCAACGCCACATAAGAACTGGTGACCTACCGACGCAAAGAAATATACACACATAATTATACAAAGAAAGAACGTCCGTTTTCCACGCAAAGAAAAATGTCAACGCAACACAGCCCACCGAGTTCACGTGCCGCACCGATCGGAACAGGAACGGAAGAGCTGGACATTTCCGGAGGCTCAGGGGAACCCCCCCAGGGAATCAACGCCGCAAGACTCGTAAAACTCCCATCCTTTTGAAAGGCAAACCCAGCTTTATGGTTTGCTCAAGTAGAAGCTGCATTCCAACTCGCGCAAATTACTCGAGATAATACTAAATTCAGATACGTTATCGTATATCTCGATCAAGAGATTTTGCCATTTGTCTCTGACATCTTGGAATCACCTCCCATTACGTGTAAGTACCAAACTTTAAAAGAACGCATCTTACAATCTTTTGGAGAAACCTCAGAATCTAAATTACGCAAACTTCTTCGAGGTAATGAAATGGGAGATAAATAGTCTTCAATCTTCTTACAAAGGCTACGTAACCTAGCAGGTTCAGCATGCGGCGATTCCGTTTTACGCACCCTCTTCTTCGAGCAGCTCCCAGAGTCTATTCGCACGGTCCTTGCAATAGGCGGAATAGACGATTTTGCAACGTTAGCACAGCAAGCTGATAAAGCCATGGAAGTAATGAAACCCAATATTGCAGCCATAAGCAATCCAACCACCATGGCAGCACATAACTCAATATCGATTGAACAACAAATCTCAGAACTACGACGAGATGTTGAAGCGTTAACTAAAGGATTCCGACGAGGCCGACAAATAAATAAAGGCAAAGAAATCAACGACATCGATCATTTAGCAGAAACCGTCAACATAAGCAAGAATCAGGCAATTGTTATTTTCACGCAAAATTTGGCAAAGATGCACGTAAATGCCAAGCACCATGCACATGGAAACAAGATAAACCTGTCATTAAACAGACAGCGGAAAACTAACTCAGCCCTTACGTATCGAGGCGCGGGGGCACATAAACAAATTTACTCACGTCAACACCGCCTCATCATCGCTGACTCAAGAAACAGCACACGCTACTTAATCGACACGTTTCTGTTTTACCTCGCTCGACATTTAAATCAAAGCATGTAAATACAGGAGTAATCCTTTATGCCGCTAACGGGGCAGCAATAACGACATACGATCAAAAGATCACCGATGTCGATCTTGGACTCAGACGTAAGTTCCAATGGCCTTTCATTATCGCTAATGTTACTCACGCAATTTTAGGAGCTGACTTTTTAAAACATTTTAATCTCCTTGTCGATCTTCGAGGCCGCTGCGTCATAGACGGAGAAACTCAGCTCAAGTCTACCGGCCGTTTAACTACCACATCAACACCAACGATAACCACCATCATACGCAAAGGCGATTACAGAGATCTACTCGACGAATTTATCGACATCACTCGTCCCACTCATAGAAAGGACGCAAAGCATCAAGTGCAACATCACATTGAAACACAAGGTCCACCAATTGCAGAACCTGCACGACGGCTTACGACAAAAAAACTTAAAGCAGCACGCGCGGAATTCGATTATATGCTAACCGAAGGTATTTGTAAGCCATTCAATAGCCCTTGGGCCAGCCCTTTACACCTTGAGAGATTAAGCCTTTAAAGAAGACCGGCGAATGGCGCCCATGCGGAGATTACAGACGCCTAAACCGAATCACTGTACCGGATCATTACCCGATTCCGCACATCCACGACTTCGCTCAGCAATTGCATGGATGTACAGTGTTTACAACTTTGGATCTCACAAGAGCCTATCATCAAATCCCCGTAGCTCCAGAAGACCAACCCAAAACAGCTGTTATAACTCCATTCGGCTTATATGAATTCAACGTCATGACCTTTGGTTTGTGCAACGCTGCACAATCTTTTTAACGCCTGATGGACCCAGTATTAAGAGGCCTTGACTTTGTTTACTGCTATATTGACGATATTCTTATCGCATCTAAGGATTCTCAATAGCATAGACTACACCTTCGCACAGTATTACAACGCCTCAGAGATCACGGTCTCTCTATTAACGCTAGTAAATGCAACATTGGAAGTTCGCAGGTAGAATATTTATGCTACATTATCGACAATTAAGGAACTAGACCACTCCCTAAAAGGATTTCTGCCATTCAAGATTTTCCTAAACCGAAAAGAATTGATGAACTAAGAAGATTCCTCGGCTTACTAAATTACTATCGATGGTTTATGAAAAACGCAGCACAAGACCAATTACTACTCAGCAATCTTCTTATCGGTGCCAGAAAACGCGACAAACGACTAATCAACTGGACACCTGAAACAAGCACAGCATTTGAACATTGCAAGAAACAACTAGCCGATGCAACTCTTCTCGCGCATCCCATCGAAAACGCACACCTAATACTACGAACAGACGCATCAGATTCAGCATTAGGAGTTTCTCTAGAGCAAAATAATAAAGGTTAATTAGAACCGTTAGCATTCTTTTCGCGCAAGCTCAGCGACACAGAAAAACGATATAGTACTTATGATGGCAAACTATTAGCTATTTACAAAAGTCTAAAATTTTTTTGTCACTGGGTTGAAGGTAGACAAGTCACAATATTAACGGACCACAAGCCCTTGACATACGCCTTTCAGCAGAAAGCAAGCAAAGCATTACCCAGACAGCTACGCCAGTTGGATTTTATCGGACAACTAACAACTGATATTACATACATCTCCGGTAGTGACAACACCGTCGCAGATACGCTGTCACGAGTAAGTACCATCGACACTCCAAGAATCGTCTCAACTGACGAACTTGCGGAAGAGCAAAACTCAGATGAAGAATTACAGCAAATACTAAACTCAGAAACAAGCCTCAAACTACGAAAATTACAGCTCACAGATTCTAACATCACATTATTTTGCGACATATCTGGAGAAGATGTACGACCTTACGTGCCACTCAACTTAAGGAAACAAATCTTTAACGCAACACATAGTTTATCACATCCTAGCGGTCGAGCTACTAAGATATTAATCGGACGTCATTTTGTTTGGCTAAGCATGAATCGCGATATAAAAGAATGAGCACGTACATGCATGACATGTCAACGCAATAAAATTCATAGACACGTCCGTAACAACCCAGAGAAAATCGCAATACCAAGCGCCAGATTTGATCACGTACACATTGATATTATCGGCCCTTTACCACTATCACGAGGACAACGATACTGCGTAACAATGATCGATCGATTTACCCGCTGGCCAGAAGCAGCTCCAGTCTCCGATATATCAGCAGATACCATCGCAACAGCTTTCTATAATACATGGATAGCAAGATTCGGCGTTCCAACAACCATTACATCAGACAGAGGTACGCAGTTCGAATCATCATTGTTTCAGGCACTAACAAAATTGCTAGGATGCAAACGAATACGTACTACAGCGTATCATCCCCAAGGAAATGGTATGATCGAGAGATGGCATCGGTCATTCAAAACGGCAATAAGATGCTATGAAAATCCAGAGTGGGTGGACGTACTTCCAACCGTCTTACTGGGGCTACAACTGGGGAACAAGCTTAAAAGAAGATATCGGAGCTGCTGCAGCAGAACTTACATACGGAACAACGCTTCGCATCCCAGGCGAGTTCTTTTTAGACGAAGAAATGCCATCGAATCCTCAAACGATCATAGAAAAATTCCGTGAGCACATGCGGAGAATACGCTCATCACCGGCAGCGCATCATAGTAAGAGCAAGATCTTTGCACATAAAACTTTATTTTCTTGTACGCATGCGTTTGTAAGATCCGACGCTACCAAAAAGCCATTAAAAGCACCATACGAAGGACCCTTTGAAATCCTAGACCGTCCTTCAGACAGAATTTTCACTTTGAAAATAAAAGGGGAAGCCCAAAACATCTCTACGGAAAGATTAAAACCTGTATTCTTTGAAAAACAGGAAACGCAAGAAGCAACATCGCCTAGCTCATCACAAGATCTACGAACATATCCATCAGCAAAAAAGAAGACTCAACACGTTACTTTCAAGGATACTTGAAATATCTCCGAGGGGAGTATTGTAGGGACCAATAACGTCTCCAGCCAATCCCAGCGCAGACGATGTCTAGGGAATATTTTATATATAGAGTTTTCTAACTTTCTGGTATATAGTTCAGTTATTATTCGATTATTAACCTTTTTCCTGTGTATTGAGTAGTAATAAATGT